GTTAATGCCAATGTTTGTATTGTTCTAGATCAAAGAGTAAGAGCCTGTTGGAACTGGATCCTTCAGATTGTACTGACAGAAACCATCAGACTGAAGTGCAATTTCTCCCTCAAAACGTACACAAACATGAAGTGAATACACAAAGATGCCCAGCAGGCAAGCTAACAGTGAATCTAGCCTCAGCTCACGTTACATTTCACAGGCCTCGGGAGGGGAGAGTGAATGTTGGTGTTTGTTTTCTTGTAGTCATTTTTGTCTTGTTTTCAGTACAAATAAAAAAAGCATTCTTAAATCATTATGCAGTTGTTTGAGAGGCAAATTATTAAAGTTCTGAAAGATCTGTCACAATTTTGTTTGTTAAAAACATCTGCCACTAAAATCTAAATAATAAACAAGGGATTTTTCTGATCAACCCCACGTTAATATTTCCTTTGTTTTTGAAGCTTAAAGTAATTTTATTTTGTTACGTTTTAAAAAAATAAACATTACTCTCAATAAATATATCTTGATTTAAGTATGTTTAGATGTTTGTACTGGCAAACAAGACTAAAAAAAAATGAAAAAGAAAATATCTTTTGATAAGTGTAAGGGAGAGAATGCTCTTTGTCTTCCTCCTCATCTTTGCAATAACAACTATAGTAATTAATCCCAAAATTCGGAATTATTTACATTCAAACCCATTTAACAACATATAAAACCACAATGTTTACCTTTAATTTACATTAGGTTGCTTCCTTTTGTTGATTTGCATCAGAAATGGAACTCTTTTAATTTTATTACTTGATATTTTATTTGGATTTTTGGCTATAATATAGCAGCACATAATTGCCATTTATATTTATTCTTCCTCCAAATAAGAGGTTTCAAGGTTAATTAGCAGAAATGGAACAGGACAGTGTGAATGAAACCTTCCCTTCAGTTTGCTGCTACTTTGTGTTTTCTTGATCATTAATGCGTCAGGGGAAAACAGGAGGATTGAAAACCAGGGAACAATTGGATATGCCGTGTATGCGGGAGAAACTCATCTGTGTGTCTGTAGTCAAACAGTAGTCACTTTAAGGACCTGATGGACACGACTCATCTGTTTTGACTTGATTATTAAGGGGTTTTAATTTAAGAGTTTTGTTTGGGTGTGTCGAAGCTGAAGATGTCTGATCCGGGGAACGCTACATCATGCGAAAAATAACAAATAAATATTGATCACTGTGGAAAACATCATTCTGTGTGTTGTTGGGCCAATAAACAAATACCTATTATTTATTGATTTTTTTTTATATTTATTTTGCCTTTTCGGAGAGTGTTTATTGTTAGACTCTAACAAAAGCATTTTCTATGCACTGTTAAACTCAACATTCAACTTTATCAAATGAAATAAAATGAGTGCAGTTAACTCAAAATTAACTGTAAGTTAATTCTACTCATTTGAAAAGAGTTTTGAACTCAGTGTTGAAGGTAATGAGTTAATTAAATACCTCATTACTTGAATGTAGTAAGTTCACAGTACTCGTATAGATTAGTTTTTTAACTTAAATGTTTTTTTTTCACCCTATTTGCATGCAATGGACAAACAGTTGCAGCCAAATTAAACTTTAGTGACAAGGCAGCACTAACAATCCAGTTTACTCTTCTAAGTGCCTTGCACGCTGGCCCTGGGTGTTCAAGGTGAACTTATTGTCAAGCCCTGATATTGTACACAAATATCACTTAAAACAAAGAAAGGGAACACACCCAAAAATCTAATTATTTTACTTTTTCTTTTTTTTTTCAAGTGTAAACCAATTGCCTTAAAATCAACAAGTTAACTTTAAAAAAGTGATTAAACCTGTTGTAATCTGAAACAGTTAGGTTAACTTGACCTTATTTTTTTATAGTTAAGCACATAGTTCATTTGCTTAATAATTTTAGGACAACAGTTTTTCTAAAAATAAATTCAGAATTTAAAGTAAATTGTTAACTCTGTCAGATAAAAAAAATGCAATTTCCTTTTGTCCTGATGCTGAATACCATCCATTCCACTGATGTTTTATGAAAACTATTCAAACTCGAGCTATTCAGTGTAATATGCGACTGGGGGAAACCAAGTAATTTTCCACTTGTTTTAGAAATCATATTACAACCCCTAATTATATGTGCTGAAATGCCTCCAATATGTTTCGTTTGTGAAAATGCAGCTCTGTAATTTTCCTCTTCACAGCCTGATAATCAAAAGATTTCATAAATGCAGCTTGTTCAGAACAGATAAAGACTCACAAAGGAAGATGATGACACATTGATTTGGCCAAGCTTGCTTTAATCAGTTCACCCTCTTGCTAGTAGAGGAATGCACTGAAAAACAATAGCATGTTTTCAGTAGAAGAAAAGTAAATTGATGGTAAATATTTAACTTCAACCTCATGCATGATATGGTAATGTGACATTTTATAGCTCTTTGGTTATTGAAGTGGTTTAATTAGGCCTGTCACGATACAGCATTTTTGTTGTGCCACATGTTGTCACAGAATTTGTTGCGATAAGTGATATTAATGTCATTTTGAGATCAATTTATGCCACTGATTATATAATGATTATATCACATCATAATAATACAAATAGCCATACACTTAAAAATAGCCAACACTCTAAAATACTTATTATTCTTCAGATTATTTAGATTCTTTAATTTGCTGTAAAAGGTAAAGGTTCTATAATATACACTATTAAATGTCCTATTAAGTAATGTGCAATCATAAACTTAGAGACACAATGTCATAGTGAAATGGCTTTAACGTTGTTTGTGAATTTGTAAATATATAATGCTACGGCAAAAAATATTGAGGTTATCTCCAAGGATAAAACGATAAGTCCATATATTGATTATTGCAACAGGCCTAGGTTCAATCAAGATAAAATACTTGTTCTCAATTGAGCATGGCAAATAAAGTATTTGTGCTGCAGAGTTAGACCTATTACTAGTGCACTGTGGTAATCAGTCTCAAGGGTTAAAAAGCTTCAGAGAGCTTTCTGAATTACCCGCAAAGAACATTTCTGACAATTACACATCGCAATTGCAATCATCCAAAGAGATTGTGTAGGATCTTTTTCTTCCTGTCATTTTCTGCATCGCTGCCTACAATGGTATTTTCACAGTATGAGTTGTCTTTTTCCTGCTTGATAATTGTCCTCATGGATGGTATTTTTCTCTACATGCGGTGGTTTGCATCTTTTTTCTTTTTTTTTTTATGAGAAATTAGATTTTCACCATCCACCCACTTTCCTCCATGGGTTGGTCTTTTGATTTGAAATGAACAAAGTCTGGAGTCTTTCTGCTCCTCCTCATAAAACTTTGATGATTCATTCATGAAAAATTGAAGCAATATCAAATTAGAAAATCACTTTGTAATTAAGCTACTCTGGGATGCATTTTGCTCTTCTGTTAAGTCTTTTGTTCTTGTACTTCAAATTTGTATTATTCTCTGCATTATTTTTGAAGATCCCTGTTCTGGCTCGGTAAAATATCTCATTTAATACTTCAAATATTCAAAGAGACTATTTTATTGGTCTCGCTCAATAAAGAAGGTTTATTTCAAGAAATGAAAACAGAGGCCAGCAGTGTTGCATATGAGATAAAGTGAGTGTGAAATTAGGTGTGATTGGATTTCATGCCAGTAGTGCCATCTTCTGTAAAGCAAGATGGCAGACTCCCACCAGCCATATTGGTGTTATTTAGTCTTTTTGATTTTGTTTGCGTTTCTCACAAGTTCTTAAACTCTGTTGGAGACCTCGTCACTATTATAAGTGACCAAAAAAAATTCTTAAATTGTTAACTCATAATTTTAACCAAGGCAACATAATGTCTGCTGTTCTTGTTTACTGCATATGGAAATATTTTAAATATCACCAAAATACATACATATATAGACACACACACACACACACACACACACACACACACAGTTGAAGTCAGAATTATTAGCCTCCCTTTAATTTTTTTTCTTTTTTAATTATTTCCCAAATGATGTTTAACAGAGCAAGGATATTTTCACAGTATGTCTGATAATATTTTTTCTTCTGGAGAAAGACTTATTCATTTTATATTTTAAAGCAATTTCACGTCAATAACATTGCACTGTAAAAAAAAATGCAGGGTTTTTTTTATTTATCATTTTATATATTTATTTCAATTATTTCAGGTTGTCCAAACACAAATCCATTATCTTAATGTAGCTTTAAAACAAGTAAGTTTTCCGAAAAAAATCTCCAGAAATGCCTCGTTTCAAATTATTTTAGTAGTAGTTTGAATAAGCAGTAAAGTGTGTGTGTGTGTGTGTGTGTGTGTGTGTGTGTGTGTGTGTGTGTGTGTGTGTAAGTGTGTGTAAGTGTGTGTAAGTGTGTGTAAGTGTGTGTGTACTCTTTACTGTATGTTTGATCAAATTAAAACTATGCTGTAAAAATGATATGATCAATTGGTCCTGACAGCATATGTTTTTAGGTCATTGTAGCTTATTAAAGTTAATCACGTTCTAACTTAATTTTTCACGTTGCTCAAGCTGTTTTAAGTTAGTTTAACTTAAAATAAGTTCAATAAAATCATAAGCTTAATTTAATTCAGCTTAAAATTTTAAGGCAACCACGATTTCTTTGCAGTGTATGTTCGTGAACAGAATAAACTTACTTCAAATCTTTAGAAATATTAATGTTTTAAACGTTTGGCTGGTAGTTTATTTTATTAAAAAGTATCCAACAATCAAGTTATTATTTTGTAGAGTTCATTTTAAAAGCATTAAACAGTCGTCAATGTCAGGATTAAATATTTAACTCGAGACTAACATTCTGTTTTCACAGAATTGTGAATATTATCTCACCTCCATCAGCAAGTTAAGGTCTTTTAATATCCAACTCATGCTCTAATTAATGAGTGGCGTATCTGCTGGAGAAGCCGTTTAGTTTTCTTTTACAACCTATCATTTAGTTGAGTAAACATATTGCAAAAGAGTCTGGCGAAAGCTCATATGCAACACCGTGCTGAGTGCAGCGCAAAACTTTCAGATCCTCCTTTTGTTTGCCAAGCTTGATTTTTTTTTTTATCTCAATTTTTTTTGCGATGTCAAAAGACATGAAATATCTAGTGCTGGAAAACTACATCGGTGGGAAGTTTGTGCCATGTTCCAAGCTGATCGACTCTTTCGACCCGTCAACAGGAGAAGTTTATTGCAAAGTTCCAGACAGTGGAGCTGAAGAGGTGAGAGTTTATTTTGTATTATTCTCTTTTATGTTTAAGTTGATCCTCAATGATGTTAGTTGAGCATGATCAAGTACTCTCGCTTTCACCAAAGAGATTCTATTGAAATTAGTTGAACATTTTCACCTGTTTCTAGTGTAGAGAATCATTGCAGTCTCCCATTTAATGAATATGTAACCAGTCACGCCATTGTTTGGCTTAAGACACAAATTCCAGGAATGTTCGGAGTAAAGACACTTGATGAAGTACCTTTGGTCTCGGATATTTCTCCCTGTAAACACGTTGGTCATAAAAAAGGGAAACAATCAGGTGGGCAGATGCTCAAGGTCCAGAGTTTAATTATTAAACAAGCTAAAGCTCATGCCAAAAGAACTTGTCTGGGTCAGTGGAGCAGAATAGAGAGTGTGTTTGAAATCCACTTATTTGGGCTGTATTGTGTTTCCTATTTTTAATTGTTTTCCTTTCATCTTTAATATATTTAATAATGCTCAAAATGACAATTTACTAACACTTCACACTCTAAGATAAATAATTTCCTCTACAAACTAATGCATCATCTCTTATTTGTTGAACTTTATAAGTAAGTTAAATATTTTCTCAATGCTCATAGGTGAATGCTGCAGTGAGGGCAGCTAAAGAGGCCTTTCCGGATTGGTCGGCTAAAAGCCCAGCTGATAGATCCAAAGTGCTGAATAAACTGGCAGACCTGATAGAGGCTCGACTGGAGGAGTTTGTTCAGGCCGAGTCTAAAGACCAGGGTAAAAATGCACTGTAATGCGGTATTATTGTACAGGGTACACTAAATGAGTCATACTATATAAGGACTCACGGCTGCACAATAGACCAAAGGTAGACAGAATTTAAGCGATTCAGCAATGTAGTCTTCACTTAATTTATGCTTTCTTTCAGTAGGATATACTGAGAGCAGAGTGTCTGATGTTTATTTTATATAATTAATTTTATGCATGCATGTACAGTTGAAGTCAGAATTATTAGCCCCCCTGAATTATTAGACCGCTTGTTTATTTTTTCCTCAATTTCTGTTTAACAGAGAGAAGATTTTTTTAACACATTTCTAAACATAATAGTTTTAATAACTTATCTCTAATAATGGATTTATTTTCTCCTCACCATGATGACAGTAAATAATATTTGACTAGATATTTTTCAAGACACTTCTATACAGCTTAAAGCTTACTTAGGTTAATTAAGGTAACTAGGCAGGTTAGGGTAATTAGGCAAGTTATTGTATAACTATGGGTTGTTCTGTAGACTATCGAGAAAAAATATAGCTTAAAGAGACTAATAATTCTGTCCCTAAAATGGTGTTTAAAAAAATTTAAACTGTTTTTATTCTAGCTGAAATAAAACAAACACAACTTTTTCCAGAAGAAAAAATATTATCAGACATACTGTGAAAATTTCCTTGCTCTGTTAAACACCATTCGGAAAATATTAAAAAAAGAAGAAAAAATTTTAAAGGGGGCTAATAATTCTGACTTCAACTGTATGTTTCCGTGTGTATATACAGTCAAGCCTGAAATTATTCATACCCCTGGCAAATTCTGAATTTTTTGTTCAAATCTAAATAAAAGCTGATAAAGGCATAAGCCTTTGTCATTTTGGTCAAAAAGCTACTTTCTGGTTGTATAAAAGTAACTTTAAGTCAGAATTAACCAGGGGTATGAATAATTTTAGACTTTACTGTATATGGATTATAATGGTTGCCAAAATTATTAGAAAACTGGCCATATTATTTATGAGGTTTCAGTTATTTTCATTCTAAAAACAAGCTAGACTTATTTCACTGATAATGTGAAACAAACTATGTTCCTGTACAGGAAAGAAAAGGCTTCAATTGCAGAAGGCATGGGATAACATTAGTGTTAAAGTTCTCAGTAAATATATTGACACTATGCCAGAGAGATGTGCTGCTGTAACTGCTGCAAAAGATGTGGACATACAATGCCAAGTATTAAAGTTAAAAGTGGATAAAAACATCAGTTAATATTTATCGCAGCAGCCATCTGCATGTTTCATGAAAATGAGGAAATAAAATCCTGTTTTGAAGGCAAGAAAGGTCAACATTTCCAGATCTGTCAGCTGTTTTAATCACTTTGTCCACTACTGTGGGACTGTTGCGAAAAGACAGGACTGATCCCTGCTGTAATGCTGTTTATTTTTTTGTCAATTTTATTGACCCTATCATCCAAATGTCCCACCAGAAATCAATGACCATTTTCCAGTCTTCTGTTGTCCAAAATTGGTGACAGAACTGTCACTTGCTGAATATTTTCTTTCTCATACCGTTTTTATAAACCCTAAAGATGGTCATTCATGAAAGTTTTTGAAATGCTCAGAGCAGCCTGTGGCAAAAACAACCTCACTACATACAAATTCGCAAAGAATTAGTTCATACAAAAATGTATATTTGTGATTAATTACTTACCCTCATGTAGGTTGAGTCGCTTTTGTTTGTCTTCAGAACACAAACTAAGATATTTTTGATGCAACCAGAGACCTCTCTGACACCTCTTTAGACAACAATGGTCTCGAGACATTTAAAGTCCAGAAAAGAACATTGTCAAAACCATTGTCAAAATATTTAATGTGACTTTATTGGTTTAACTTGAATCACATGAAGTGCCAAGAAAACATTTGTGTTCCAAAAAAATGAATAAAACTACTTTTTTGAATAAAACTACTGTTTTCTCTTCCTCAAGTTCGCTACGGGCATTATGATATATCGCCATTAGATTTAGCAGCACAACGTCCAAGCGTAGGTTATTTCATATAGTAAACGGCCACCATGACCTGATGCCAGAGACATAAGCAAACAAAGTCATGAACTAATCCTTTAAATCACCTTTCTTTCCCATTCCGATGTTCAACTTACACAGTTGTCTAGTCAATGGTTTTCAACCAAATTCCTAGAGAATCGCAGCTCTACATATTTTCCATGTCTCCTTAACTAAACACACCTGATTCATATCATCAGCTCAGACTGATAGACCTGTAATTGGTATGACGGACAAAGTAGACATCAAAACATGCAGTATTGATGATCCACCAGAAAGGTGGTTGAGAAACACTGATCTGGAACACAAGTACGTGCATAAATGCATTGAATTGCCGTCATGTGATTGGTTGATTATGTGTGCCTCTATGGCTCTTAAAGCAAGAAATTTTATCTTTTTTTTTCTTTTAGGAAAGACTATCACTTTTGCCCGAAATGTGGACATTCCCCGATCAGCATACAACTTCCGTTTTTTTGCTTCATCCGTCCTGCATCACACTAATGACTGCAGTCAGATGGATCACATGGGCTGTCTCAATTATACAATCCGCTGTCCTGTAGGAGTGGGTATGTGTCAGTCTATTAATACACTATTATTACTCTGTACTATAAATCACCCATTTTCATATGCTTCATATACGTTAAGTTATTGTTTCCTTGTCTATAGCTGGTCTGATAAGCCCATGGAATCTGCCACTGTACCTCCTAACCTGGAAAATCGCCCCGGCTGTTGCTACGGGTAATACTGTTGTGGCAAAACCCAGTGAAATGACTTCAGTTACCGCCTGGATGATGTGTCAGCTGTTAGAGGAAGCTGGTGAGTGATGCTAATATCGGCATACTTGTAGGTTAAATCTTGTAGGTAAAATCAGCAAAAATTTGACATTGTTCAACTATTTATTCTTTTGCGTCTCTTACAAATACACCTATTTACAAGTGCAGTTTGACCAAATGCATAAATAAATACCTAATGAAAATGCTAAGATGCACATAAAAAACAAAAAACTGAGTTGGATTAAATTTACTAAATAAATTCCAGCATGTGCATCAAATAATTCATGTTATTTTGTTTTAACACATCAGATGATTTAAAAAAAAACCTTTATAACTCTGAACTGGTGGCACAAGGTATGATTTGAATGGACAAACCAGCAGACAACCACATTGCACAGCACCTGAATTGCTGTTTTGGTCCTTCTAAAATCCCCTAGCAAGTCAGTCATCAAAGTGGTTCAGTAATATTACCTCCACTGAATATTTGGCACCAGTTTATCAGTGATGATTTAGTTCTCTTTAACTTTTTAAACAATTACAAACACAGGAGTTTTATAAAATCATATATCATTGCTAAATGCACTTGCGCCACAATATTTAGCACCTCTGTATTTAAATAAGTATATTCACATTTATATTTTAGATTCACTCAGTCATTCACCACAATAAGTTAAACCAAAGAACAGAGCTGTGATTTTGAGGTAACGGGTTGTTTATTTTCAGATGTCAAATGGAATTTGACACAATTAGAGCAAAAACACTGACAATTCCCATTTTTACCATAAGAGTAATAATGAAGAAATTCTAGTGAACTGCTGCTAATTAACCTGGAAGAGGACATGTGTTCTTGTTTCCAAAAATCACAGCTATTAGTTGAGTACTGGATCAGAAATTCTCCAAAACAACTCCAAAACACACATCACCCATATTACCATGAGTCTTCAGTTTTTTTTGTTAATATTTTGAGAGAAAGTTCAATTGGTTGAACAAAATTTTATTTTTTTCATAACTTTCTCTGATCATGTTTACCAAGGCTGCTTATATTAGTTCAAGGGATTGTATTTCATCCTTTCTTGGTGTACATTACCATATTTGTCTTTCTTTTATTGCATGCATTTTACATGAGTTTCTACTCTATGTAATACATGTGTTGGCACCTTTTAGGCTTTCCACCAGGAGTGGTCAACATAGTCTTTGGGACAGGTCCTCGTGCAGGTGATGCTTTGGTTTCTCACCCTGATGTACCCTTGATCTCATTTACGGGTAGCACGGCTACAGCGAGACTGATCACTGAACGCAGTGCACCGCACTGTAAGAAGCTTTCACTGGAACTTGGTGGGAAAAACCCGGCAATTATATTTGCTGATGCAGACATGGAGCAATGCATCAGCACTACTGTACGCTCCAGCTTCTCCAATCAGGTGAGCTCATGCACAGATTGACCAATCACGTTAGGATTTCATTAGGTAATCACAATCATGCAACTTGCACTGCCTTTTTCTGTGTGTGTATATTTTAGGTCACACTCTACAAAGAGATTTTAGAGAAAAAGATTTTATTAGTAAATGCTAGTCAATGCATTTACTATTAATGAACATTACTTGTACTGTATTTATTAATCATAGTTTAACATTTACTAATTCATTATTTATTGATCTTATTTTAACATTTATTAAAATCCATATTTATGCGTGTTAATATAATACAACCTTATTGTAAAGTGTTACCATATTTTAAAATACAATAGACACTGATGTATAATGTATGACAACAGCATTGAAATGACTCACCAAACACACAATGAGGCACTTTCCTGATTTCCTCATAAACTTTATTTGCAATCATAACAACCCTGATTGCTTCCTCTATATAATTTCGAGTGACACATGACTCACTATCACCGCTTCATCCATGTCAGTGTTTGACAGTTACAGATTTACAATGGGCCTTATGGGCCATTCTACCAGAAATGTACATTTTCACTTATGAAAAATGTGACAGGGCCTGACCTAAGCTTGTCATCATACAATTCAATGATAGAACACATCCTTAAACACTGTCAGCTTCTCCTCCATCAAATTATGTCACTTCAGAGTCATAGCCTTAAACGTGTATTGCACACATTTGATGTTAAATTTAATGCAAAAGTGACAGGACTGACTGAAACATGAGGACAATTGTAAATTGATTTGTATTATATATTTGTAGTGTTTATTTGTAAAACATATTTATAATTTCATGTTTTAAATCAATTGATGTGAATGATAACAACTCTAACTTGCTACTTCTGAAGTATTTTCTAAAAAACAGTTATATATATAACATATATATATAATATATAATATATATAACAAAACTATTAAAGCTGTAGATTCAGTTGGGCTGAGGACAAGGACAATAACAAGTGGTTTTTAATGAAGAAACAAAATCTGAGAACCAAAAGAATGATATTTTCCTTTAAAAAAACAACTAATTTTAGACATTTTTGGGATTAAATATTTTTATTCACTGTATTTATGTTTTTTTTTCAGGTACAGATAATGTACATTCTGGTAATATGTCCTTAATAGTGTTGAATACTTCTTTTAATTATTGTTGTTTTTTTCTATTAAATGTAATAATTAGGTCACTTATTTTCTAAAATACATGGTAGTCCTTTTGATTTATTTACTTTTTAGTTTTAAATACCTCCCATAAGTAATAAAAGAAGGTAGATTTTCGTAGAAGTAAAAAAGTTAGAGTGAAATGCATACTTTATTTCTTTTTTATTTTAATTTACATCACTAGTTCAAAATACAATTCTCATCTTGCCTTATGACTGTTTAATGTTATTATCATGAATTAAACTAATACCTATTTCTATTAAAAATTATTTGAAAATTGACTAAAAGTGAATTCTACTCATTTGAAAAGAGTTTTGAACTCAGTGTTGAAGCTAATGAGTAAATAAATGCCTAATTACTTTAACTTAAATGAAGTTCACAGTACTCATATAGATTAGTTTTTAACTCAAATGGTTTGTAATGATCGGTTTCCTTAAGTGGTTTGAGTTGCCTTAACTTATTGGGTTTTACAGTACTCAGTTTGTTTGAGTTTCTACATTTATTGGGTTTTACTGTGCTCAAGTTGCTTCGTTTACTCAAATTGAGTAAGTTCACAGTACTCATTAAGATTAATTTTTGAACTTAAATGGTTTGTTGCAATCGGTTTCCTCAAATGGTTTGAGTTACCTTAACTTTTTGGGTTTTACAGTGTACATACTGTACATATCAACACAAGAAGGACATCTAAATAAAAGTAAAATAAAGTAAACAATTACAATTCTGAAGTTTATTGTTGATAAGATCATTACTGTTTATGTCATACGTTTTTCACATTTACTTTATTTGTCTTAAACTAATTGAGATGACTTTATATAATTCCCTTTCTCGCCACTATGTGGTGCTCAAAATACATATTTTGTTAATCCAGCTACGTACACTATGTTCCCAAAACTCTCTCTCTCTTTCTCTCTTAGGCCTTCATTCACATTACTCACACAGACACATCATCATCACTGTGCTAATATTTAAACTGTATCCTCATAATTCACACAGCCCAATGAAAGTTGTGAGATTTACTCAACAACTCATTTGCATGTTCTTCTCCACTCTCTCAGGGTGAGATCTGCCTGTGTACCAGCCGCATCTTTGTGGAGCGGAGCGTTTACCCAGAATTCCTCACTCGTTTTGTGGAGGCGACTCGTCGGTGGAAAACCGGGGTTCCTTCAGACCCCTCAAATGACAATGGAGCACTCATTAGCAAAGAACATCTGCAGAAGGTACGGTTATAATCACACACGCAATCCTATTGATACTACATGCTATCTGTATATGATATGATATCTACACAACCAGTTAAAAGTTTGGGATAAGTAAAAATAATATATATGAACATTATTATAAAATATGTAATATTATTGTAATTTAAAAAAACTGTTTTCATATAGAAAGTAGTTTAAAATGTGAATTATTGCTCTGGTTTAAATTGAGTTGATTTTTCAGTAGGTCTATCATTACTCCAGTCTTGAGTGTCACATGATAATAAATCATAAATCATCCCAATAAGATGCTTTGCTCTTTAGGAAACTCTTGCTCTTTTGTTATTATTTGATTTTTTAAACATTTCTGTTGTGTTGCTTAATATATTATAGAATCTTTTTTTAATTAGGAAATAGAAGAATATAGGAAATTGTAAGACATATAAGGAAATAAATAGTGTTGGTCTTTTCATAAAATAATTCTAAAAAGTAATATATATCACAGTTTTCAGGAAATTATGATGCAGGGAAAATTGTTTTCAGCATTGAGAATTATAAACAAATTTTTAACGATGGAGTTAGAATAATAATTGATCATATTGGATGACACAACTGTATATGATGTTTTTTGAAAGATCTTGTGACACTAAAGTAAATTCAGCCTTGAAATACAGGAATAAATAACATTTTAGACTACATTCTGTGAGAACATTAGGTCCCACTTTTTATTAATTGGGCATTTCTAATATGTACGTGCATACAAAAATAAATACAACATACTTACTCTGTTCGTAATGTATTGCTGAACACTTCTAGTGCTCTTGAGGTGGGATACAATCAGGGTTAGGGCCAGCTTTGGTGGTATGAGTTGGTTTAAGGGATGGCCAACAGCACTGTGAAAAATGCTGAGTCCACACAATTCCTTCATGTTGTCCCAAAACAAATCGATTAAGTTAACTTAATTGGTTTTAAAATTTTTGTTAGATTAAACATAAAACAATTAAGAATTATGTTGTTTCATTTTAATTAAGTAGTTTGAGCAAGCAACAAAACCATTCTTGATTGAGTACAAAAGTAATCGCAAGAAATTAATTACAGATTACAGACATGTATTTAATCAGTCATAAGTAAAAATGTGTGTTTACACAACAAATACATTGTAACAAATGATTAATTTAGGTGTAGGTACATATTAGTTAAGTCCACCTAGAATAAAGTTGAATCTAAAATTTTTTTTCTAAATTGTGGCAATTTGCACAGCCATATCACCCTGCAACCCAAGACCGTTTACTCACTGAAGCTAAGCAGGGCTGAGCCTGCTCAGAACCTAGATGGGAGCCCACATGGAAAAACTAGGCTGCTGCCGGAAGTGGTATTAGGGAGGCCAGCAGGGGGCGCTCAACCTGCGGTCTCTGTGATTCCTAATGCCCCAGTGTAGCGAAGGGGACAATACACTGTCAGTGAATGCCGTCTTTTGGATGAGACACTAAACTGAGGTCCTGACTCGCTGTGGTCATAAAAAATCCCATGGCACCGTTGTCCTGTGGCTGCCACCGCATCATCCTATGGATGCTGTACACTGGTGGTAGTGTGGAGAGACCCACCGCGCCTCATGATTGTGAAGTGCTTTGGGTGCATAGCCATACATAATAAATGCAATATATCAGTAAACATTACAATATTTCATAATACCACTTTATTTTATCAAATAAATAATAAATAAATAAGATAAATTCAGCCATGGTTAGCAGAATAGGATTCCTTTTTAAACAATTAAATTTTCTAGATCCCAAACTCTTGACTGATGTACAGTTGAAGTCAGAATTATTAGCCCCCTTTGATTTTTTTTCTCTCTCTCTCTTTTTTTTTTTTTAAATATTTCCCAAACAATGTTTAACCGCAAAGAAATTTTCACAGTATGTCTGATAATATTTTTTACTTGTGGAGAAATAATTTGTTTTATTTTGACTAGAATAAAAGAATTTTTGAATTTTTTAAACACCATTTTAAGGTCAATATTATTAGCCCCTTTATTCTATTTTTTTTTCGATAGTCTACAGCAGGGGTTCCCAAACTTATTAGCTTGCGACCCCCAAAATAACAATGTTAGTGACTCGCGACCCCCCAATATCCTCTGAGGTGGTTATATATACAGAAACCTTGCATGCAACAGCGCACACACACCAATAGACCCAAGTTTATTCTTAGTTTAATGTTAGTTTTCATGTAAATCAGAGCTGTAAATGTGCCAGAAAGTTTAACCTGATATTATAAAATCAATCTGCTGCATCTGACGCCATTGGTGTGTCTTTAAAATTATGTAATTACCCCAGGGGTCGCAATCCAATAGAACTAGTAACTATGAGCTACTGTAGTAACTATATAGTATATATTCACTATAAACAACAATTTTTCTTTTCAGTAGTTTATTGATAAAGTATGGTAATTCTTATGGTTTAATATAAATAAATAGATTTTTGGAAATCACCAGGCGACCCCCCCCCCCTTCATTGTCCCGCGACCCCTTGGGGGGTCCCGACCCCCACTTTGAGAACCCCTGGTCTACAGAACAAACCATCGTTATACAATAACTTGCCTAATTACCCTAACCTTTCTAGTTAACCTAATTAACCTAGTTAAGCCTTTAAATGTCCCTTCAAGTTGTATACAATAGTCCTGAAAAATATCTAGTTAAATATTGTTTACTGTCATCATGGCAAAGATAAAATAAATCAGTTGTTAGAAATGAGTTAATAAAACTATTATGTTTAGAAATGTGTTGAAAAAATCTGCTCTCTGTAATACAGAAAATTTAGAAAAAATAAACAGGGATGCTAATAATTCAGGGGGGCTAATAATTCTGAATTTAACTGTATATGAAGAAACCAATCAACAAGATTTCAAGATTTTCCGTTTTAAAAAAGCATCTCTAAAGCATCTAACGTGTTTGTCTACTCCTATAGGTCAAAGGTTACATTACGTTGGCCCTTGCGGAGGGTGCACAGGTGCATTGTGGAGAAGGTGTGGACAAACTTGCCCTTCCACAGCAAAACATCGGTGGTTACTTCATGTTGCCCACCATCATCTCCGGAGTCAAAGATTCCTCCGCACTGATGCAGGAAGAGATTTTCGGTCCCGTAACCTGCGTGACGCCCTTCGATGAAGAAGAGGAAGTGATATCACGAGCAAACAATGTCCGCTATGGTTTGTCTGCCACAGTCTGGTCCCGAGATGTCGGGCGCGTGCACAGGGTTGCTAGGAAACTGCAGGCTGGGTTAGTGTGGACCAATTGCTGGCTGGTCAGAGATTTAAACCTGCCGTTTGGTGGCATGAAGCACTCTGGGATTGGTCGAGAGGGGGGGAAAGACTCCTACCACTTCTTCACTGAGGTTAAATCTGTAACTGTCAAACACTGACATGGATGAAGCGGTGATAGTGAGTCATGTGTCACTCGAAATTATATAGAGGAAGCAATCAGGGTTGTTATGATTGCGAATAAAGTTTATGAGGAAATCAGGAAAGTGCTTCATTGTGTTTTTGGTGAGTCATTTCAATGCTGATGAATTGCGTGGTCTGTGGTGCATTTTAGGACACTAAAGGATTATGCTTTCTTTGAGTTTGGGTAGCTTAGAGACAGGATGGAGAATTAAATTTTTGTTGTTTTTTTAAACTTCCTTAGGAGCAATAAAAAGATGCAAATGGGCATTTTCAATCAGAATATAGCACTGTATTGAATTGAATCTAAAAAGCAAAGAGCAGATAATTAGATTTTCGGAAGGTTTTTTTTCTTGTTAGATCTGTAAATTGGTTGCTGACTTGGATATTGTGAGTTTCACTTAATGTATGTATTCTAATTTTAAAATTGAAAAAAACTGATTACTTTAATATTTTTTTCAAGGATTTCACATTTATTGTATAGGACAGTAGAGAGAATTAGCAGGAACGTGTGGAGAGCAGAGAGAGGATCGACATAGGAGTTTGAGGCGGGAATTGTACTCGGGTCGCCGTGAGCACCAGAGTGCATGTGTCGTTGCACTTTCCACTACGCCATTGGCACCGACAAACTAATTACTTTTAAAACACAAATAAGTTCAAGTAAACTAGTCAAGTAAGTAGACTGACAAATCAGTGTTTAACAATTATAGATGTGTGAAATATTTACATTTTATTTAATTATTTTTCATTCATTCATTCATTTTCCTTTGGCTTAGCCTCTTAATTCATCAGGGGTCGCCACAGCGAAACCTCTTACTGTGAGGCGACAGTGCTAACCATTGAGCCACCGTGTCGCCAGAAATATAATTTTTATTAAGGTTATTATTTATTACAAATGAATAGAGGCTGGTGCAGAAAAGAGTAACAGAATTATTAAATGAATCAGAAGTTCAATACTTTTTAATGCAAGTTAAGCTTTGCTTTCTGGTAAAGAATTGTGACATAACTTTTTTGTTTGGTTTTTATCTCTTTATATGGTTTTTATAACTTTTTATCATGAGCCTAATCTCTGACAATGAACTTAAAAGAATAGTTCACCCAAAACTACAAAATTATTTGCCATTTATGTACTCTCAAGTTGTATCAGTATATTCTAACATAAAATAAATCACACACATCACTTTAACATCTCAAATGTTTCTCCATGAAATTAAATTTAAACCATGGACTGAGCCAGGGATAGTTTACCCACCCAAGAAAATTCTGTCAATTTCGCACCCTTGAGTTTCATAAAAAAAAAAAAAAATTGACGAATGTTGGACACTGGTAACCACTAGGGGTTGAACGACTTTAGATTTTTGGAGGTCGGCTTTTATGTTATCAAAGTCGAGTCGACTTTGACTAGTCGCCAGTGACGTCATCAATAAAACACAAGATGCAAATGTTTTGCAACATGCCACAATTTGCTATTTATTTGCAGGAAATCTATACACATGCTGTTTGACAGCTCATTGCGTAAACAATGCACTGTTACCACTTACTTATGTTTGTGCAAAACAAATGCACTTTCAACACATTCTTCTGAGATGATATGTACACATGCTATGAAGTTTGTCATACCTCCCACGGCTGCACACTTTGTGGTATCTCTGTGGTTCATTCACAAAATATGTCAGCATCTAAGCTTCGCAAAGGACAACAGCCAATCACATTACTTTTTCAGGGTTGCGTAAATTGGATTGCTATCATCTGCACTGGGGTATTTGCATGGAGCGACCCAACTGGCATCTGTTTGACGATTTAAAGTTCATGTGAATCTCAGCTGCTGACATAAGTAATATAACACTAAAAATTACTTTAAATTATCCAAGGCCAGTTGCAGTGAACCACCTTTAAGCTGCCATGTAGTTCAGGTCAAACCATGTGTTCTGTGTAGCGGGACTAGTCGAGGTCAATCAAAAAGTGTCACAGCAGAGCATTAAAGTCGACCAGTTGACTAGTCACTTCAACCTCTAGTAACCACTGACTTCCATAGTATTTTTTCTTCTTACTCTGGATGCCAATGATTACCGGCTTGTCTTCTTTTGAGTTCAACAGAACAAACTCAAAGTTTTTGTAAATGATCACAGAGTTTTTATGTTTGGGTGAACTATGCCTTTAAGCACACGGGGAAAGATTTGACTATTTAAAGAGTATTTGTGTGATTTATCTTCTGTTAGAGCACCATATGTGTGCAGAGATGGAGGTTTATTGGGCAGACTGTTGTGTGTTACCTCCACACAGCTGTGGGCATGTATTACTGTGCCGCTTCCGAGAATGATCTGAGTGTGAGTTTTCCTGAGAGTGGGAAGCGATCTGACACGCTAACACAACACACACTCGCATACATGTTTGATTTCTGCCAAACGTCTTCAGTTCTTCAGAACAGCAGCTGAAGTGATGGACACAAGGCATCATCTCTCATGCCATAAAGAAATAGTTCAGCAAAAAATCTCAACATTGCCACCATTACTGATCCTTCACTTGTTCCAAACCTGCTCCTGTTGAACACTAATGCATTTTTTAAGACATCTTCGAAATAAGAAATTTAAGAAATCTGTCGCTATTGTCTTTGTATTTCCCTATTTTTTTCTACTATTGATTACAATGGCTGCCAGTTTACAACTTTCTTTAAAAATATATTTCTTTGTGTTCAATATAAGAAACACTTTGAGGATTAGTAAATGGTTAGTCAACTTTCACTATACCTATAAACTGTACAAATGTGATTTCTAGGTCATTCGGATTAATTTTATGCTCAGTTCTGAAGTATTTAATTGGTTATAGATTGACTTCAGATATGTGTTGTTTGGAAAAGACTCAAAAGGTTTCGTTGTACGTGTCTGTGTGTTGGTCGGAAAGCACAGCAGGAGTGAGTGTAATGCTTGAACAGTGATATGATCTTGCATCTGTATTGAAAGGTTTTTCTGTTAATGAGGGGTGTGTGAAAACTGAAGGAAACTTGTGAATGTGTTCAGTCACGTCTCTGTGTGATCGTGCTCAAAGGGCAGAGCCCACACTGCCAGCTTTTATTTTGACTTGACCACCGGCAGTGCCCTGTACCACCCTACACACACACACACACACACACACACACACACACACACACACACACACACACGCACACGCGAACACGTAAACCATTAGGGTGCTCACCATAATAACTGTAAACCCTTATATGCTCTTACTCTAAATATTACATTATGTGCATTATAAACATAACTAATGTGTTATTTCATAAGTGTTTTTCTATATAAAATTTTAATAACTTATATAATATTATTAAAAACTATTGTTAATAGTTAACTATTAACAGTAAGATACTAGCTATTGATCTAAAAGATGCAAGATACAATGGATATAATGCCATTGGTGTTTACAATAATGACTCACTGTTTATTCTCTCATGTTATTTCATCCACACACACAAAAATCTTTACAAAAAAAAAAAGATATTTTGAGGAATGTCTGACACCGATAACCATTGGCATACATAGTAGGAAAAATAAGTTCAATGGTAGCAGTTTCCAACATACTTTAAGATGTCTTCTTTTATGTTGAACAGAGGAAAGAATCTCAAATGGGTTAGTAATACTTGCAGGTTGTGTAAATGACTGAGTTTTCATTTTTAGGTTATGCCTTAACTTTTTGAAAGTATCTCTTTGTTAATTGTTTTATTTTTAGCATGATAATGATCCAAATCTAATGCAGTGAAATCATACTTGGAGGAAACAAATGCTAATTAAACACATGTAGTTGTGAAATGGCGCCCCCAGAATCCAGACCTGAATATTAAAGAGTATTATTATATAGGATCACCTGAAATTTTTTTTACTGAATCTAAAGATAACCTCTGGGGGGTGCTGAAAGAGGTCTGGCATTATATAGCATTGTTTATTTTAGAACACTCCATGACAGTCTCCCCAAAACCATTCAAGTTGTGCTTGGTGCAAAGAGAGTCCACATTAAAGACTGGCTTTTGCTTGAAGAAATGAGTTTGTTCTCCTTTTCTTTTTTTTAAAGCCTCTAGATGCATGTAGAAACCTAAATATTTATATATAAATAAATAAAAACTGTAAAAAAAGAAAAATATGTACATACATACATACATACATACATACATACATACATACATACACATCAGTGGTGTAGTCGGGGCTATACGCACATATTGTTTTCCACGAGCTGTTTGGTTATTAGGATTTTTGAGGATCAATAATTGCATTTACCCTCAGTATACTCACTTGTTTTGGTGATTAAACTTTCCTTATTTATATTTATTTACATTCCCTTTAACTGTATACCAAATGTTTGTTTTATTTAATTTAATTTTATTTTACAAATCCCCTAGAGTTAAACAGTTGTGTTTTACCACAGCTTAATATACTCAGACAATTTCCGAGTCTTCTGGGGCACTATTAGCCAAGCATAAATCATTGAATAGGATTAGACTATTAGCTTCTTGCTTTAAAATTAACATATTTGTTTAAATATGTTTCCTTTTTAAATAGATAGTTTACCGATAACTGAAAATTGCCATCATTTTTTGAATTAAATCGGTTTGTCTTTTTTTTTTCTTCTGTTGAACACAAAAAAAAAAGAAAAGAAAAAAAAGCTGGAAACCTGTAACCATTGGCTTGCATAGTATTTGTTTTTCTTCTGTGGAAGTCAATAGTTACAGGTAACTGATGATAACTGGTAACTTATACAGTATATACACATATAGCTGATGATTTGCCAACTTTTAAAATTTGGGTAGGGTTAGTAATAGTCTTTTTTTTTTCTTTTTTTTTTTAGGACTACACCACTAATACACAAGTAGTTCTGTCCAAGACTCTTAGGCCACCAAAAATGTTGTCTGTTCTGTACCTTGTAACAAAACTACACACACACATCATGGATGAAGATGATATAGACATGCATCCTCTTCCAGGTAGATTCATAACAGCTCCGTTTGCTTATAACTTGCTGTTTTGTGGATCTCAACACTCTCCTCTTACACATCTAAAAGATATTTTTGGGTTTTGGTTTGGTCATTGTAAT